TTTCTTCAACGGAAACGATTGACCTGGAAAACGTAGTATCTTGCCATAGTTTTGGAAAATGTCACCGAAAATGTCCAGACCATTCTGAGTATAGCGGAGAGATATTGCAACTGTTGTTTAAAGGATAGAGGAGAATATGTAATGGTAGGTCGTTTTCAGAACTTTTGTAAACGTTTCCTGGAGTATTTTGAGAGAAGGATAATACCGATAAGCTAATATAAGGTAGTTTTAACATGAACAATAAATCTGAAAACGAAAACGAAGAAAAAACTCTGAAGCATCTCCTTGATAGAACACTTCATAAGAACACTGGACTGAATGTCTGTTTATTAAAAGCCGCCTTGTATCCGTTTTCATATACTTCTATATTTAAGCTGTCTTATTATCAAACTAGGTTGAAGAAATATTTCTTTGTTTCTTTTATTAAAAAAATATCTTCGAATACGCATCGTACGCACATGACAAGCCATGAATGCGAGCAGAGCCAAAAAACTTCTGACTGGGAGCTTAATCAAAATCTTTTTAAGGCCAACTTGCAGTATTTACGCTCAAAATTTTAATTCAAATAAGTTGTGCAAACATTTCTTCCAACGGTTCATACCTGAGCATCGCTTTCCAAAGAGAGGGCACTGGGAGCGATATTGTGCCAGTCACGCCACAGGTAGCCCAAGCCCGAAATATGAGCATCGGCATTGTTGCGTAACATTCAAAATATAAGGATTTGTATGGGAAAAAACCTATCGTTTCTGTTACCTACGAAAATGAAAGGATTTCAATCAAAAACAGCTCACCTTACATAAAATGTGTGTTACGTCTCTCCTGTGTGGTCCACGGGCCGATTTATGGCCGTTTTATGGGTTTTTATGTAAACGGTTTTCTCTCTATATAAAGGTTTTCCAAGGTTGGGCACTCCTGCGAAGCGGCTTGACTGATCTACCGAAGGAAAACGGCCGAAGATTCGCTCCAACTGTTATACAGAGAGAAAACCGTTTACATAAAAACCCAACTTAACTTAACTTAGAGGAGAGGTGGCAGACAAAAACCACGTCTGTCTTGGAGAGACGCAAAACTCATGTTCAACAATATTCTTTTGAGTGACATCAAGTTTGCTTTTCCTAATGCTGATCGCAACTCAATGATTCCAGCTCACAAGTATGTTCTCGCCATTAGCAGTCTAGTATTTTTCACTATATTTTACGGCGATCTGGCTGAAACCAGTGACACTATAAACATTACGGACTGTGATTCAGACGTCTTTCTTCGCTTTCTACGGTTCATTTATTGCGAGGAAGCGAATTTTGAAGACATGATGTGCGCCATTGACGTATGGCATCTTGCCGACAAATATGACGTCCCTTCGCTGGCGAAAGAGTGCTTGGAGTATTTAGACGGAAACATGGATCCATTGGACGCCTTTGATCTATTAACGTATGCTCGCCAGTTCAATAACGAGATTCTGGAACAAACTTGTTGGGAGGTGATAGATTACAATGCGGAAGCAATCGTTGCTGATGAATCATTTCTAGATGTTGAACATGCGTTTTTACTCTCCTTTGTTAAACGATCTTCTGCACGAATCAAGGAACTATCCTTATTTCAAGCTTTAGATCGTTGGGCTACAAAGAAATGTGAAGAAGCAAGTACGACAGTAGATGGAGAACAGAAAAGGCGGTTCCTAGGAGAGGAAATGATCAGGCACTTTCGATTTTCCTTGATGTCGCCTAAAGAGTTTTCAGGTGAGGTTGAGCCATCAGGCGTTTTGCAGGCAAATGAAATACTAGATGTTTTTAAACAGTTCACTTCTGTTTCTGTCCCTGGTGGATTCAAGTTCTCAACTAGTCCCAGAAGATCATCTAACAAAACCTTTTTTCACCGGCACAATGCGTCTTAGAGAAACGAGCGTAGCCTTTCTATGACTCATGTATTTACAGGTGTATCTAGAAAGACAGGCCTACTAACATTTGCGGTTACAGAGGACATCTCACTTAGTGGTGTAAGAATTGTGACTGATAAAGGTCGAGAATCTTTTCGGGTTAGTCTTGTCATTTCTAATGGAAATAAGCACTTGAGACGAATCAAGGATTACAATTTTACTTGTAATACCGATCGTAGCTTCAGCAGCTACGGGGAAATTGATGTAGTCTTCAACAGGCCAATCGCTTTGGCAAAGAACACTTGTTACACAATCAAAACTAATACAGATACTACAAATAATCTGGATTCCGGCTTCGTCTACCAGCACAAAGACCATAAACCTGAGGAGACAATTAGGTTCTCCCCAATAAATTTCGGTACATCATCTTCAGTAGAAACAAATAGCGTAAACACCATAATTTCTTTTTCTTATTTTGGGAATTATTGTGACCAAAACTGTCCAGAACGTTCGGCGGTTGGAGGAGAGATAACGAAACTAGTTTTTGTGCATGACAATGAGCCCACTGATGTTCCCTACTGGGTTGAGGCGGCCGCGGAACTCGACTCTCTCCTCCGCAGAAGTCGCGCGGGTGTGATTTCCGAGGAAGATTGGGACTAGGTCGCATTCTCATGGATGTTTTTGGCGAATAGCGGATTTGGTTCAAATCCCATATTATAAAACTGGTAAAAGCTCTAATCCTACACTTTCTCTAATGTCATGTGGAACCAGTATTGAGTATTGAATATTGAGTATTATGGAATAATTTTGTGTAGTGGCAAGTAAGATTAACTAGTCCATGGGCATTCTCTCTTGCCCTGTTGTCTTAAAAAAGTCTATGGTCAAGGGGTGGAGTTGTCTCAGTCTCTGTGACTTCGCAGGTCACAACAGGGTCCCATGTTTGCATGTTTGAGTAGGAATACAAATCTCAATGAAAGGCTTTACCATTAAATCCAATCAACTATCATTGACAGGAAAGTATGTAAATGAAAAAAGAGGCTTTGTGTGTCTGACCCTCCTGCTTAACATTATGGAGATGTTAGCTCCTTTATCTCTCTTGGGTGATGTAAAGACACATGAACTGTTACTACAGGCAGCCCATTTCCTCATTTTAAGATAATTTACTGTTGCCGGCTGCTACTAACAGTCGACACACTGCACTAACCACATAAAGTTATTTAGCACTCAGGTGAATTAAGGCCTGTTTGGCCTGTCAACACCTTCCACCAGGGAGATATCAGATTGCTTCACATCTCATTGGGCCCCACCTCATCTCAATTCGTCACCAGCGGCTAACTGAAAAGAAGACTGAGACAATGAAAGCTACTCCTGAAATCTACGGCAATTATCAAAGCCGTAAAAGCTACTTTGAACCCATCAGCCTATGAAGGCAGTTCAGTCGAAAGTTTCTTTGGCGCGTTTCTACTTCATTGACAGCAGGACAATTCGGTCGCGTACAGTGGGATATCTAAAAAAAAACGAGAATCGGTGAAGTATACATATTCAAACTATACCCCACTGAATAGCCATGCAAGGCAGAGAAGAGGCAGACGTGACTAAAGTATAAGCCTAAGTTCTATGACATTTTTTAGGCACAACCTGTCTACCTTCACAGAGAGGGAAAAGGTTCTTTGATTTAATACGTAACATCCACTCCTGCTATTTTCTTCAACTTTCAGGTGAAACGTGACGGCCGTGAGTCAAACAGAAAGACCAATCTAAGCCCCCCCCCCCCCCCCCCCAAAAAATTCCCCCCCTCCCTCTAAAAAAAAAGTCCAGTCCAGTCCAGAGTCTAGTCCAGTCCAGTCCAGTCCAGAGTCCAGTCTTGGTTTTCCAACTGGCCAATAAAAAAAAAGTCCAGTCCAGTCCAGTCCTGTCCAGAGTCTAGTCGAGTCCAGTCCAGAGTCCAGTCGACGTTTTCCAACTGGCCATAGGTACTTAACTGGCGAAATCCTCTCCACGGTGATGACAAAAATCAAATGATCCTGGCACTTTTTCGGCGCTGATCATCGAAAAGTTCCAAAACGTCCACAGAACGCTTAATCGTCGTCTCGTTTCAAGGTGCATGCTTAAATGTGGGATTCATGACGGCCAAAAAAAAAAAACACTCGCAAAGATAACCTTTCCGTAATCCTCAGTTCGCTGCCTTTGTCCTATCGCTTCATGCTCAGTCTCAGTCGCGTAATTCATTAACTTTTATTTCATGATACCCAGATCCCAGCGGCTGTAAAATAGTAAAAATGGACGCATAGTAAAAAAGGAAAACGGTCGAAGGACGGACTTCTGAGTTCGACTTCATCCAACTTCATTTTTTTCACAGTGACATACGAGACTCACGGAAATATGACACTTTTCGCGGGAAACAAGCCGTTCTATTTATAAGTCTACTCGGGAAAAGGTTGACTCACGAAATTAATGGAGATATGGAGGCTGCATTTGATGGGCTCCTGGTCATGCTCCATTTACTTTCCAACCGGATTTTGCGGGTATTTCTTTTTGTGAATGGTAAACAACGGATAATTACACCTGCTTACATGATGTACCAAATGCCGATGACGTATGCTAACAGTGTAAAATAAAACAAAACTGAATACAAGGCTGGCACTCCGGCAAAGGGCTGATTTATTATAGGCCAATATTTCGGCTAACAAAATAAGCCTTCCTCAGGGCCAGAGCTATACCGAGAGAAGTTATCTTAAAATTTGAATTTAAAATTTACATAAGTGGTTAATAATTAACTACAGTTATAAATACTAGATAGAATAACGTACAGGTTAATGATTATACAATAAAAATAGATATAGAAACAGTTCAATGTTCATTCCCTCGGTTCAGACCGTCTGGTAACAGGGTTTTGCCTCTATCTATGAGGTACGCTTCTCTTGCCTTGCGGCGTGACATGCTGAGGGTGGGTTGTAATTCCAGCGGGATAAGTTCCATGTCTGTGATCGGGTGGCCAGGTTGATTAAAGTGGGAAGGGACTGCTGCTGTGGCGTTTGCGTGAAGTGGATTGTTTGTTGCTTGTCTATGTTCTTCAAAGCGTTCACGAAGTGTGCGTTTAGTTTCACCTATATATTGTCACAAGTAATATGACATAAATATGACGTTTAATTTGTCTTGTTTCTCCTGTGTTGGTGAAATTGTCCGATGTTTGCCCATGGTTCAGGGGCACCCAACGAAAATATAGTTCAAAACCACTTAAACATAGCATTGTTAAACGTATTTTAGTTTTAAGCGGTAGATATAGGCATATTTTTATCCCCTAAAAATTTTTGATCTGTTCGGATTTCCTAGCTGAAAGTCTAGTGATCCGAAATTTATAGGGATCAAAACTTACCTTTTCGAAAATTTCAGCCAGAAAAAAGGCTCCCGAAAATTCTAGATGACCTTTTAAGGGTAAAAATCCGTCAAAAATGGGCAATTATACCATTTTTTAGATGTTCGAAAATCCTAGGAGAGGCAGGCAAGCAAGAAATTTTACAACAAATGTTCCGAAAAGTCTAGGTCTCAAATGGTCTTCCGAACAGATATTTTCCGAAAATTGTCGTTGGGTGCCCCTGATGGTTCAGGGGCACCCAACGAGAATATAGTTCAAAACCACTTAAACATTGCATTGTTAAACGTATTTTAGTATTAAACGGTAGATATAGGCATATTTTTATCCCCTAAAAATTTTTCATCTCTTCGGATTTCCTAGCTGAAAGTCTAGTGATCCGAAAATTATAGGGATCAAGACTTACCTTTCCGAAAATTCCAGCCAGAAAAAAGGCTCCCGAAAATTCTAGGTGACCTTTACAGCTTAAAAATCCGTTAAAAATAAGCTATTATACCATTTTTTAGATGTTCGAAAATCCTAGGAGAGGCAGGCAAGCAAGAAATTTTACAACAAATGTTCCGAAAATTCTAGATCTCAAATCGTCTTCCGAACAGATATTTCCGAAAATTGTCGTTGGGTGCCCCTGATGGTTAATGCCCGGGTTAATGTATGGGCAGGTGAGGCAGCCATTGTCTTGAGTTGCAACGGTATGTGCCGGCAGAGGGATTGGGTGTGTTGTCGTTGTTTGCGAGTTTAAAGCTAAATGAACAATTTAAGTATAAGTCAGTTCCAATTTTATTTTTATTCACCATTTTCACATACACCATAATACACCTTGTTTACCCCCAAAACTTTGAATAACCATTGTCTTAGATTTCTCTTGGGACGACTGTAATACCCAGGAGGCATTGAAAACATCGATTATGCAAAATTCCGGGGGCAGGGGAGTTAACATAGTGCATTATGGTCTATGTGAAAGTATTGAATTCCTAGTTATCGAGGGAAAGCCAGAAATATGCAATTCTTGATTTTTTGAGCTTGCGATATAAATGGAAAGTCACACCTTAGGTGTGATTTGACACCCCGGTTATCAATTTTCTGAGAGCTCAGCTCTCGCTTGATAGACCTGTGTAATTTTTATTTCGGAAACTCTTTATTACTTGAGAAATAAATTTTTCAAGTGGAATGGCTACTGCGTAAGTCAAGAAATACGTTATGGTTGTTCATTACAGTCGATAGGATGTAATAATAGACTTCCTGTTTGTCTGACGATATAATCACTTGAAGCAGATGACAATACTTTGACTGCTCGCGTCTAGCTTCGGGCGATGAACAACTGTTCATTGTTTACATCTAATTTTGCCACCGCCAGGAAATTGGCTGAGGCAGTACCACTCCCTAAGGAAGGGGATCATAAAATATAGAATCAAACAACCGTCTCTTGTCACTCCCCCCGGTTCTCTCGAAGATATATGAGAAAGCAGTCCTAGCTCAGTTTATCTCTTACACGTAGAAGCATGCACAAGCTATTATCCAGCCACCAGAGCAGAAATCGAAAATATTACTCCACAGAAACAATCAACATTGCCGTTACCGACGTCCTCTTCGAAGCCATGGACGCTGAAGACATTTTCTATCCTTATCCTACTTGATCTTTCAAAAGCTTTTGATAGCATGGACCACTATATTCTCCTGCGCAAGATCGCACACCTGGGTGCTTCTCCACTGGTATATATTGTATATAGCTGGTTCGCAAGTTACATGTACCGTCTAAGCGATTACAATATGTGCGGGTCAGTACTGTAACTTCATCAACGCTGCCATGCATTAACACCTGGAATACCCCAACGCTCCACTTGGTCAACTCTTTTGTTTACAATTTACACCAGTGATTTACCATCCACTTGGAGTTTTATGTAGATGATTCTTAAGTCTCTATTTCCTTTCCTTTAGCAAGCCTAGCCACCTCCTTATCTAAGGAAGATTTGCTGAAAATTGCTGAATGGTGTTGCCAAAAATCCCAGCAAGACAAAAATTCTTTTGTTAAAAAATCGTCAACTTTCTCAACAGTTAACAACCATCCCTAGCATTGACATCCTTGGTGAATGACTACTGCCCGTCCAGTCCACTAAAAGATTTAGGTTTGGTTGTGGACTCATATCTTACCTTTAATGAGCAACGACAACAGTTATCAGCTTCCTGCACAGCCAAGTTATGCCACATAAACCGTTTTAAACATGTATTCAATCAGGAAACATTGTCAATGATTATT